TAAAGAAAATAATCAATTGTTTGAAATGTATTTGAGGTATTTAGAGATTACTCAAAAAAACATTTGAAAATTTTGGGTGAACAATAGTTTCTTAGTTATAAGATGAAAATCACTTCGCATCCGGACTGGTAATGAAACACACTTGATATTTTCACAAACAAGTCTATATTAAAAATACTGATGTTGTAAATAAGTCTTGGGATTTATCATGTTTTATGTACTTATGTTTGCCAAGTTTTGTTAGTTCTCAAGAAGTGCAGTTTTATATAGCTCTTGGTAATTGATCTTTGTTTATCTATAATATTCTTAGTTTCCAGTGGTTCACTACTAATTAGACAATGTTGCAACTTGCCTGAGGCAGGTTACATGACCTGACCCTATGAAGCATAGGACATTTCCAATTAGATCTCAGTCCTAGGGATAACTGATAGCTTTCCTGTACTACATAAAATGAAACCAAAAATTACGGTGATCTCACTATGCAGAAAAAGTTGGCATTTTTACATATGTAATTATATATACAATAATAATAATAAAAGGTAATTTTTTATTGCACGTGAACTCTCATGTTTTGTAAGTGGCACATATGAGTATGGCTTAGAAGGAACGTAGGCTTCGTTTTCTACATGGTAAATTGTGCTGCATACTGGCTTACCAAGCAATACCTTCCATGCACAATGAATTTTATGCTATCTTTCTTCACTTGAAGCATTTTTAATATACAAGGTCCATCTCAAAATATAGGGTTATTATATTCACAACAAAGTGTCTGGACAACATTTCCTGTGCTAGTGTAGTTGTGTAGGCTCACAAATTGCTGAACTAAACATCAGAAAATACATTAGTTTTTATTTAGTGTACTCGGCTAAGAAAATTTGGAACACGAGTTCAGATCCAATACCATAAATTTAGCTTTAATATACAATATTTAATTTGCATGTGAGGTACATCTATCAAAGAACAACAGACACAACAAAGATAAATGTATAAAACAACCCAAACTTATCCTTCAGATAATACAGATCATATTGTTATGAAATCAAGAATACTAAATATTACTCAACAATTCTCTGTATATCATTAATAAATTACAGGATTAGCAATCTGTCTGTTGTTTAGTAGCAGCAATCAATTTTTATTGTTACTAGTTTTATGTTTCCATGGGTGCTACGATTACCTTGTATACATTCCTAAATGTTAGCTTGACCCATGGATCCTATGTTTGGCTTGAATGCATTCCTTAATATTAGCTTGACTAATTGTTGAGAAACATTCGTAATATCATACAAGTTCTAATAGGAAGAATTAGTTACATACATGTCACATCAGACCTTATCAGTGCAATAGGGATAGTACTGTACTTAGGCTTTGCCTTTACACTGGATCAGACTAATTGCAATATAACATTCATGCATTAATGCAATCTATTGGTGTAAATCAGTAACAGTTGGCTCTCAAGGAAAACCTTAACCTTGCATCCATTAAGACACCCCATATGGTTCAGATTCCTTCAGAACTCTACATACCTAACCTCATATACGAGTGGCCTGGGCAGGTCACAACTGTTTTAATTACTTAAAATACACAGCAGTGCCTTTACATTTTACTAACTTTATGCATTCAAATACAAAACACTGCAGCCAAAAAGAAAAGGTTTATAGGAAGCAAGTTTTTTTCTATTATCATTAAAGTGACCCAAAATTCAACAGCATAGAAAAGTGTTAAACATAAAATACTTAAAAAGAAGGTATGTATGTGCATGCACATACAACATAACTAATTTACTAAAGAAATACTTACACTTTCTTTCCATTTAGTAGCATGCCATTAACTTTCTGAATGGCATTATTGGCAGCTTCTTCTGTTTCAAAATGTACAAATCCATAACCTTTAGAATTTCCCTCTTCATCTGTAGCTACCTATTAGTTTTTTAATTTATATTGTATATAATATGCACAAATGGAATAACCAGTTTATGACAAGATTTGATAATATTACTGAGCACACCTTATACTTTATGGCATATAAAATTAAAAAGATAATGAAATCAATCCATACTCTTAATCTTACAGGTAATACAGGTTTGAAAAGATTCAAAATTATGCTAAACCTGTTTGATAAGCACATATAAACTTATAACTTGTAGACTGTACCATATTTGCTTTGTAATAATAATATACACACACACACACAGCGGTGGTCACAAGTAAATAAACACCACCTTTTCAGAAAAAATTAAAATTTTCAGTCATATTCACATGAATTGATATATTTATAATTTAATTAATATCTAGTAGATCTTCCTTTCGCTTCGTGGAGTTTGTTGTCCTTTGGGGAATCTTGAGAATCATCTAGTCAATTTCAGATAGTGGGATTTTCGCCCACTCGTGCTTCAAAACTTGGAGTAGATCGCTCTTCGAAGTTGGTTTTTTTTTGGTTGTTTCTTGACTTGCCGGTTGAGTATGGCCCAGAGGTTTTCGATGGGGTTCATGTCAGGAGATTGGCTCGGCCAGGGCAACTTCTGGATACCATTTTCTTCCCGCCACTTTTGGGTGTTTCTAGCAGTGTGATATGGTGCTCCATCTTCCTGGAACAACGTTGAGTTCTTGTCCATGAAACCCGAGGAATAAAGTGGCAAGAGTCCTTCCTCCAATATTTCGTAAAATTTATGTTGCCAACGCACTCCACTAAGCTTGATCTCCTACCAACCCAAACAGCTCCCCAAATAATCACGCTGAAACCACCATGATTCACAGTTGGCTGCAATCTGTTGAGCCAAAACTCTTGGTGAGGCATTCTCCAGACCCATATCCTTTCACTGTCCGAAAATTGAGTGAATCTTGATTCGTCTGAGAACAATACGGTCTTCCAAAAGTCCAGAGGCTTGATCATCATATCACTTGCCCACTTCTTTCATTTGACTATGTTGGCAGGTCTTAATAAGGGCTTCCGTCTAGCTGATCTGCAACAATAACCCAATCTGTGGAGAATTCGTTTAACAGTTTTCAGGCTCATCCCACCAACTTTGCCCACTTCTGCAGTTGTTAATCTGGGATCCATTTTGATGCTCCTCTTGACAGCCCTTTTTGTCCTCTCCGATGGACCAGGATGCCCCGAACGCTGCTCAGTTGTTTCCTTTACTGCACGATGATTCTGTTGACTGTCGAAATCGGGATTCCCAATTTCTGCGAAATTTGCTGCTGACTTATTCCACCATCTGCTTGACCAACTATCCTTCCTCTAACAAAATCTGACAATTTGAGAGAACCTCGAGTTCCAGGCATGTTGTAGCACAAGATAATTAGTGTGTGGACCATTTTCATTTATATAGTGCTCTGTGAACACAAATTAGTTAGCATAAATCAGTTAAATGACGAAAAATTAGGTGTCTATTTACTTGTGACCACTCAGTGTGTGTGTGTGTGTGTGTGTGTGTGTGTGTGTGTGTGTGTGTGTGTGTGTGTGTGTGTGTGTGTGTTTATATATATATTTTTTTTTTTGTGTCTACACAGTGTAAAGGACTTGTCATGAAAGTGAGGCAATGTGATCATTGGATAAGCTGAAATGTGAACACAAGTTACATGGTTGCAGTTTTAGTTACCTGAAAAACATTTACAAAAGTTACAAAGCTTAAAGGGAAATACTTCTGTAGCAATGATACACAGAAAATTACAAATGCAGTGGTACTCTTTCATAATTTCAAAACTGAAGTTTATGCTGAAAGATTTGTGCATTCTCTTCCCCATTTAAAACTATTTGAAATGCACAACTTTTTTTTTCTTCTTCTGTAGTTGATTAAAAACTATACTTCTTTATGCTAAAACAGATTTAAGATATCAAGTATTGTAAAACTGGGCAACATCCTATCCACAATATACCAATGAAGTATACGCTACAAGCCAGTACAGTTAATACTAACAATACTTTCATAGACTGAAAAATACATCTTTACAGTGAAATTGTGTGTTGGGGTTTTCCTCAACAATTGGAAAAGGTTAATTTATTTTGTTTACACTGATTTGCTTAGATGTAACAGTACACTAATGACACCACTGTAACTATTGGCTAAAAATATGCATCTATAAACAAAATTATTTAAGTAAATGCGAGGTTTGATTTCTCTAATTATGCAATAGGAATGCAAGGCCTCATTGTGAACTCTATCTTAGATACAGCCAATTTTATGGGTTTGTTATGTTTTATGACAGGATGACTGCATTGAGAACTTTCTCTTGAGTGTACCACAGAGGGTACATGATTTTGTCTTTACCCATTTAAGATATGGCTGTCATGTACCGACAGAGCTGCACACTATGATTTAAGTAACAATAATCAAATGATCATTATATTTAATATTTTATTCTTTTCTTTTCAGCCTAATCTTTCCGTTTTTAGAAGAATTACGAATATTTCTATTAATTTTATGTTCGTAAAAAAAGGATATCAGATAAAATAATCCCTACTGTGGATGATAATAGTTCTATCTTTATTATATTAGTCTTCATAAGTATTCTTTTTTATGAAAGAAGTCTCAATTAGTGTTTTTTCTGCTTCAATTACTCACAATAAAAAATTTAATGCCAATATCTAGATTTAATTTTAAATTAAAAGGGATTTAATCATGTAAATTTGTTTTATTTCAGTTGTCCTTTCAACATGACATCCGTGCTCCACCAGTGGTACATGATGGAAGGCGTGACTTTATTATAGATGTCCATAGAAAATAAATGCTTCATATAGGACTTTAGAGATATGAGGTACAGTTATATCTTATGGGTGCTGTGTACCATGGGTGGCTCATGACTTTCAACAGAAAACATGCACATGTACCACCAATGGCGCATGAAGTCGTGAACATGTTAAATAACTTTCAACAAGCCTAAAGTTACTCAGTATTTTTTCACGATAACTGTATTATACTGTTAGTATTGTAATTCCCCAGGTAACACAGCCTTTTATAAATAATAAAAATGATTAAAATTAAGGGAGCTGTAGCAAGTACACAAGTTTTTGCATGAATCACTATTAACTGTAGATAACTGAAAGTTATATTAGTTTAAGTGTTTATATTTTGTGTGACCATTATCAAATGATGCCTTAAATTTTTTAACATTTGCATTTTTTTAACATTGTAAATTTAAAATAAATCAGCTCTTTGGATTTATATCTACTGATAATGTTTACATTGTTCTTTACCTCAATTCAGTCAAATTAGAACATGTTTGGAAGAATTCCATGCAACTGCTTGAATCACATGTTAAGTTACACATGCAAACCTTATTACTACATCACACATTAGTGACAAACAAAACTTTTGCCTGAGCTCCTAACTAGTACTGTCACAAGAAATGGAAAGAAATTTCCAGTCTATATGCCAGTAACACAAGTGAAATATTCAGACAAATAGAATCTACATTCATATTTGTCAAACCAATAGCATTTTTTAAAGCATACTGAATATTTTTCAAGTACTGTATTTCATTCTTGTATATCCTAGTAATTACTCTAGATCAAGTCTTACAAATGTACAAAGTCCACTTAAAATATTTGCATTAATGCACCTTACATACCCTCTCTCCAAATTAACCTAGAATGTTCAGTGAAGATAATGGAATACACTACTGGTTGTCTCCTTCCATTAGAACCAATTAAAATTTTAAGACAGCAATGTGGCTATAGAAACAGACTGACATACTTAGCCACTGAGGCCACACTCAGAAATCTTATATACTCAGATATATGCTTTTTTCTCTCTTCTTTTTTAACTTTTTCTAAACATATGCATTCAAAATTACATTAAAGTTTTCCAATAAAACATTGTAATAGCTTACCTTGCATGACAGGATGTTACCAAAGGCTGAAAAGGTATCATACATTGCTTTATTATCAATACTTTTGTCCAAGTTCTTAATAAAGACATTTCCCAAGCCCGACTTTCTTAGAGATGGATCTCGTTGAGACCACATGATTCTAATTGGTCGACCTTTAATAGTGTCAAAGTTCATTGTGTCCAGGGCACGTTCAGCTAGAAAATATGATATAAAACATTTATGTATCTAATAAAGTAACACAAGTGATGGAACAGATTAAAAAAAAATCCTTAATTCCAGTTAAAATAACTTTCTTTACAGTGAATTGTAGACAAATTGGTTAAGTAAATAATGAAAAAACACCTCTTCCTAGTCAGGTATCTTGAGTTTTAACAAGGGGTAAAATTAAAGGACAAAACTAAATTTTCAAAACTGTTCTTTGATCCTTCTTTTCATATCACCCACCAAAATATAAATAACAGAAATGTTCATACTTCAAAATTTTTTAAGTATATTTTAATGAAATTTAAAACAGCTAGCCTTAATTATCAATTTTTATCTGTTGTGACTATTTTAGATTGTGGAGACTTAAATTTCCCACCTGTACAGATACAATTTGTCAGTATATGAAACAAAGCTGAAAAATTCAAAGATTTTCAAAAAGTGGTTTTCTAAGCATTTCTAACATACCCAGCATCATTTCTTTCTTTTGAAAATAGATTTCAATGAGGTAGGTTGCACCTTTAGTTTACTCAAAATTTCAAATTTTTTTAAGGCGAAATACAGCTGAGATACTAAGCTTGATAAATTATAGGGGAATTCTATGATATTGATATTATAATTTAGGATTTTTGGTTATTCAAATGCGTGTGTGTGTGTGTGTGTATATATAAAAAACCTAAAAAAATTTATTTGTTTCATATCCTTCATATGCAAAATTTTAATGCAACCTACGTCAAGCAGCAACTGAGTGCAAAGGTCGTAACTAGAAGAGAACTATTTGCTTTACTGTTCTATGTTTTAAGAAAAATAAGTTTAAGAACTTATTTCTAAATAGCAATAATTTATATAAATATATAATGTATAATAATTGAAATGTGACTGTATTTTACAACATACTAGTCTACTAAAACATAGCCAAGACAGGTCACTTTGTAAAGATTAAAGGCAAGTTTTATATTATTGGATACTGTAACAGAGTGCAGGTGCACCTTACCATTGTAACTTCTGTATTGTTAGCCAGACATGGCTGAAAGGTCAATATAATAAAAACAATAGATATATAAGATCATGAGATTTAAGTTATTTAGTCTAAAGATTTATGTTTTCGTGTTATAATTTGTAATCACTATAGAATGAAAAAGTCAATTTCTTTCTCATTTTTAACCTGGTTACGAGATTTATCAAATTGACCAAACCTGTATGGAGATTCATTACTGAAAATAACAGATAAAATAGTTTTTTTTTATTTAAATGTTTGATAACTAGCTGAACATTAAAAATTTCGCATGTGAAATTTGTGTTTTGAATCTTAAAACGAAAATTACTTTGCATGTTGAATAGGCAACATGTGAAAAAAAAAAAAAGGCACGAGAAGAACATTGCTTTAGAAACCTTAGTTCTTAATAAATTTTTTTATATATATATTTTGTATATGAAAGCATTGTAGTGTTCACTGATTATCTGCCAAATTGTTAACATACGCTTACTAATTTAAAAGTTATAGCACGAAAACTACAGCAAGCCCAAAATGGTTGAGGTTGGTCCCAGGCCGTGCAGAAAGAGTTAATGTAAGCCTTTTAGAAGTTATTTCACTTTTGTAATGTATTTTGTTGACAAATCATCTTATATAACATCATCCCAAGTTAAAGGCCAAATATTTTAATACTTACCAGCATTCTTGATTGAGAATATAGGATTTCTTACAATACAATATAGACTTTTTTGTTTGAATGAACAGTGTTTGCATAGGCTAATGGAAATAAATTCCAGGTAATCTTAAGCCCAAACTGTAATTTTCAAAGAGTTGATTTACTGGACATTAAACTCTACTAAAATCAAATTTGATAGAAAATTTAGTAACAGTTCTACAAGATTCTAGCAAAGGCAGTAACAAAAGCTATCAATAAACTTTTCAAGCAGTGAATAGAACACTAAAAGTAATCATTTACAGTCCCTTAACCCTGTTGTCCTGGGTATCCTTTACTGCACATGACAAAAGGTTTTAGTGTCTTACATTCAAAACTTTATTTTACTACTTTTTGTTTATGTAATACCAAATTGCATAAAATCTTAGATAATAATCCATATTTTAATAGTACAAGAGTTAAGTTCTTAATTCTACAGGGGAATATAAAAAAATCCCAAATTTCCACTAGTGTGACCCACGTGACACATTGTCTTAGCATGTCATCATTCCTATTTTATCCATTACTCCTCGAAAATGTATGAAATTAAATGTAAATTACTCTATAAAATTGTTGTTGCTCAAACAAACCATAATTTTATAGCCTTCAATTTTGGTTGGTTACAGAGCTATCGAATAGAAAATCAAACCCCTCTTGCCACACCCACCTGTCACAATTCATTGACAGTTTTTTTTCTGATGTCTCATTATATATTACCTATAACCAATAGAAAGTCAAGGTTTTCATTTATCAAATGACGTATTGTATAACATTGTGTTCTGAACAGAATATTGTAAATTTTACTCAGAGTACAATATTAGTTCTCATGTGAAAGTTAATGGCTAGCTTGGATGAATTTGTAATGGCTCTTGTCGCATAGTTAGAAAGCAAGAAAAATTTTTAGTTAAGGGAAATTGTCTACTTTTTGCATGTTAGTCTATATTCTTTGGTGCATTATTTAATTAAATAAAAATTATTAAATACATTATTAGTACTACAAAAAGTTAGGGTTAACTATTCGAAACTCGACTACAAGAAAAAAGATTAGTTAAGTATTTTATTTTTTGTTTTTCATATTTATTCTTTAATTATTTAAGACTATATTAGGTAAAATAATGAATAATAATATAATTAAAACGGTTCACAAGTTCATGTTACAATTTAAAGTCATTCTAGAAAGGAAAAAAAAGGTTAATTTAGGTTTATTTAAATTTTTTTTTTTGGTGGCTACATGGTCTGTTGAATTAACCAATCCTATTTTGAGATAGGGTAGAGAAAATAAACTACAAGGATTTAGTTAAAAAAAAAATGTTTCAAATTCATTTAAGAGGTTTTGGGAATTACACAAAGGAAATTTGAGATTTTTGAATGAGGAAAAGTATTTTTAATTTTAACATGAAAATTACCTTCTACACGGAATATTGAAAACAAATACTCAGTATATTCATGGACAAATTTTTATTTTATTATAAATACTTCACTAAGAAATAGGACTTTTTGTATGTGAAATACTTGCAATATTAATTGAAAGACTGCCAAATTTTGTGAAGATATACCCACTATATTGAGAGTTATAAGTGTTAAATCTATGAAGACTTTCAACAAGTACAAAAATGTCACGTGGTTGTTCAAATTGACCGAGCCCGTATTCAAAGTGTTAAGTCAGAACTTCATGTTTGACAGGTGCCATCACATTTATGCTCAAAAGCACCTGTAAAATGAGGTTCGCAAGGGTTTGTTAGAGCTTTTGTCAAATCTGTCATGACATTTACTGTTTTTGGAACACTACAGGTCTTTTTATTCTTACCAAGAAATAAGTACTTTGAATTCAGACCCTGTTATTACTGGTCATGGCACTGACTGCACGATCAGTTGTTTGTATAAACAGACAAGCTCACAGGTAGCTGTGTGACCTTGTTGGCAGCCATGACTCTTATAATTTAATTTTAATTGGCCTAAACTATCTATGTTACATGTGCAGTAATGACATTTTCAAACTATATTGTTGTATAAAGGTATTTCTGGCCATAAACTAAGACAATGTTTAAAATACAAAACTGAATATTGATCATTTAGTAATTCACACTAGCAAAAACAGTTCTTGATCATGTCCTAAATTACATTTCATGACCCAGTTTCTGTATGACAAGGCCACAAGGGTTATCAATGCCATACTGAGTGGAGGTAGTTCAGTGACATACAGTGAAAATGTTTTAGTTTAGCTAGCAAAACTCTCTCCTGTTGATACTACAAACAGTACAATTCAGTCAATAAAAATTAGCTATGTTGTCCAATTTTATAAACAAAGATTCAAAATAGATCAAACTCATTAACAGCCCCATGGTCTTCTTAAAAGGGGTTGTTCACAGCCCTTGTGCAATTTTCAAGTGTGAAGGACTACTAAGCATATTTTAACTTTTCCCAACTTCAGTTTCATAATAATAGGTGATAAAGCCTGAGTCTTTTTACCAAGTACTGTGCTCTGGCTACAGCCAAACTCTTTTAGCATGTAACCAAAGCCAAATATTTATTGTATATGTAAGGGGTGTTTAAAATGGCTGTGGCCAAACCTATAGAGAGAGAGAGATATACTGGTTCAACTATGATTTATTTTTCTCCTTCTGATTCTAAATTTATGCCAGTGGTACTTTAAGGTCTTTATGACCTTATGAAAGAACTCTTCTACTTGGTCCTCAATCCATGACTGGACAGTATGTAGGAGATATCATCACTCTGAAATCTTCAACTTTTCAGAAAAATTTTAAGGTTAGGGAAGATAATAAT